CATGTTTGATGGATGTCAGTTATGAGTTATCTCCTGTTAATTTCCCTCTGAAAGTTCTCCACTGCCTTAACCGGGTATTGAACTCACACTCTTTGGGTCCTGTCACTGGATCTAACCAACGCCTTTATCCACTGTGCCATGTGTCCTTGAAGACATCCAACCACCTGAAGAAGGCCGGAGCGTACAACGGCCGAAACGTTGTGATAAATATGGCGACAAAGATGAGGACAACAGTACATAATACCTCATCTCGGAAATATAGACAGATTCAGAAATGAATCATTTTAATACTTACATCGCTCATCTTATAACGCCCATTCGGCTCCAGTCCCTTTCCCACAGACGCAATGTAGCTTCCCTGTGCCTTTTCTATAAATGGCAATTGGTCTGATGAACTTCCCGCTATAGTACCTGGACTTTATGAATTTAAACGCACTACTAGATTGGCGGCAAGGTCTCATTCATTTACAGTTGAAATGGCTGCTAGATGCGACCGTAAGTTTCTTCTATCGCCCTTCTCGCTTGTAGAACTCACTTCGGCTTTCAGTTAACTTTGATCTTTAAGCGACAAACTACATCCAGCAGCAAGGCCTCTGATCGGGATATTGGAGGTTTTGAGGATCGTGGAACCACCTTTTAATTGCTGCTTTTCCCAGGTCCATCCTGACCCGAGGTGGTAGCACCTGTTAGGGTCCCAGCCATGGGCAAAAACTGAACCCCCAAACGAAAACAAAATACTATGAAAGTATAAAAATATATTTTTATAGTAAAATTAGCAGCAATACATTTTAAAGCATAATGACCAGCAATGCAATTTTATAGTAGAACTAGCAGTAGAGCCCGGCGTTGCCCGGGGATGTAACAGTAAGAGATAGATCAAGTATCGACCATCATAAAGACTGAAAAATAAAATTGACAAAAATTATTGTTTAAGGTTGACGGACACGCACGTCTTAATTAGCTTTATTTTTTATTTTTTTACGAATTGGTCAAACCCAAACTCAAACAAAAACATTTTTTTCAATCGTTATGAGTCTACCGATTGAATAGAATTTTATTATAAACAATTGTCTTGCAAATGGAATTTTTTAAAAGCATTCTGAATGTAAAAATAAAGAAAAAAACACAAGACAATAAAAACACTACCTGCCAAAAAAAAGTTTTGTTGAAATCGGTTGAAAATGTAGGAAATCCGATCCCATATATAAACGAACACACACACAAACAACCAACCTGGGTTTTATAATAAGTATAACTCGATAACTCTATATTAATAAGTATAACTCGATATGAGTTGTCCCCCTTTCATTAATGCCTCTTAATCGTGTTTTCAAACTGATTTTTTGCAAAAACAATTGTGTTTTTCCAATGTTTGGGCGCTGTCAGAACCACCGCAAGGTAATTTTACGTACTCCTGTGAAGTTTTGTTGAAATCGGTTAAAAAATGTAGGAAATCCGATCCAATATATAAACGTACAGACACACACACACACACACACACACACACACACACACACACACACACACACACACACACAATCTGCGTTTTATAATAAGTAAGATTAACAACATTTTACAGCAAAATGACCAACAATACATTTTATCTGTAGATGAAGCCATACAATTTCATTTCAGATATATTTAGTTGAAGCCATAAGATTGTATTCAAAATATTTAGATTTCGGCATTAAATAATCTATAGAGGTTGCTATGCCGCTAAACAAAATCAACCAACCATTGATCTTTAAAAATTAACCCACAATGTTAATCGTTATCTTTTATCTTCAGTTTTCTTGTTCTTTTATTGTCCTCTCTAACAGTAGTTTTTTTCTCATATTCTCTAACACTCAGTAACCCTATGTCCTAGTGGCTTTATTGCCTTGTATGGGGTGAAATGATTAAAAAAAATCAAATCCGAACCGACTGTCAATCATATGCGAAATCTGCTATGTTTAGTTTTCCTGTATTTTTCTAAATATGGAAGAATCAAAGTTCCGAAAGTAATGCTATCTAATTATTTCCACGAAATTCACAACAGATGCACCGTTGAATAAACATTATTTGTCCCCATAGTCACCAGCACTGATTATGCAGTTTTCACCGGTGATAAACAAGGGACTACGTGTCGCGCTCGTAAACTTGGTTTGTCTTCTCCACTGCGAAAACACATTACCTACCGTCTAACCGTGCTTACATTCACTATTTGATCTCCGTAAATGTTCAGCATGTTCAATATAAAGAAGTGTATTTTTTTCGGCATCGCGGAAACACCAATGATTAGGACACAATTTCATATCACGCCATATTTGATAAACTGCCGACAATAGGCAGAAAGTGTGCTACTACTACCGTAGCCCTAACATCCGCCTCTGACGTTGTAGAACAACAAAATAAAAATAACAGGATACATTACTTTCGGAGCGACTGTCGTACTCCTCTCTACAAATCTGAAAACATCACAGTTCATGTTGAAATAAAGACCATTCTTTAATGTCTATGCAAATAACGCTTCCCTTAACTTCGGAAAAAAATAAAATTTTCTGCCCTACGTATTGAATATTACTGCCATATCTGGCCTGGTGCTTCTTGACAAAATTCAAACAAGAATCTGAAACTTTATCGGTCTTGACTTGGCATCTCGATATCAGGCACTTTCTCACTGTTATTACGAAGTTTCTCTGTGCCTTTTCTATAAATATTTTAACGGTAATCGTTTCGATGTGCTTTTCTCTTTTGTATTTGTTTTTGTGTCTAAATGAATTTAATTTTGAGTGAGTGTTTGGTCGACTGATTGTTTTTAATTACTTAGTCCCACATTAATTTCGTTCAGCTTACTGTTTTTTCTGCCACAATTAAGGATTGGGGGCGGCTATTTTGTTTAGTTTCTTTTATATAAATTGTATTCATTGTAAATATTCATTGGGCTTTCATTTTTAAATGGTGTTATTTTTATCCCCCACCTCCCATAGACAAATTTTACATATGGAGACTAGTTAGCACTACATAGTAACTTAAGGTATTATTATATCAGTAGTAAGAATGATAAGTGAGAATGTGTTGTATTGGTGTAAGGAATACTGTGGTATGTTTGGGTCAGTAATGGTGGCTAGATAATTTTAAGATGAAACAGATTGAAGACCAGCCTTTCTCTATCCCTCTTCTTGGCCATGTGCCACATTTTTGTATTATAGCAAAATAAATATTGCTTTCCTCTTTGGTATGTTGACACCACGAATTTAAGCACAGTACTAGATTTCACTGTTGAAATTGCTTGTTGTAACCGTAAGTTCTATGCTAACAGTTTACTTTCTCGCACTTCTCACTTGTGGAACTCTCTTCCGGCTTCTTGCTTCACGATCAACTATGATTTTCAAAATTTAAATGTAATATCAACTGTCATCTTCTGTCCTTTCTGTTTCTTTCACTCTCAGAATATTAGCTGACTTAGTCGCCTTGCTTGGGGTGAAATGATTAAAAAGAACTGACTGCTGTCTACTCGTCTTTTTCTATTACTATGATGCCCAAAATGACTGATGGCGTGTTTATGGGATCAACTCTGTGGCCTACATTCATCTGTTAGAAATTATGTATAATATTCAAACACCCATCTAAAACTACAATCTATGTCAGATACGTTGACGATATTTTATTCTCGCTAATAACGTGGTCAAAATTTTTAAAAGTTAAAATCAAACTTTCAAAACAATTCAGTCCTCCATTTCATTTACGAACTTAATCCCGAAAACAGAATCCATTTCTTCAGAGCCTCCGCATAAAAAGAAAAAAACCACTTGCCATTCTATTATTGCGAGTAAAATAGAATGGAAGAAAGAGGGAAAAAAATTAACATTACCATGAACTATAGAAAAAGAATGACAAAAAGAAAAACAGTTGAATTGTTTTTATTTCTCTTTTTTGAGAGCTCCTTTATAGAATTAAACAAATGTGAACCATGACGAAAATATCATAAATAAATATTCTGAATGAGGATAGGAGATACACATATATTAATAATATCCTAATATATGTCTATATATTACAAATAGATCACATTGAGACCTAAACGACATCCCTCCTGTTTGCAAAATTAGGTTTCAAAGATTTATTAAATATGGTCTTCGAAATTAAATCCCAGATGTGACCAGCTTCAAACAGAAAACATACACTCATATTACTACAAGGCCCACTGACAGATAAACAAATAACACTAACTGTGAAGTAATTCCACAACTTAGAAAATATTAAAAGCAAAAACACAGTATACCTATTTTATTACAACTAAATGCACCCAAATTTTATACTTGACGAAGCAGTTATGGAAAGCATTGTACGCTAGTACACAATTTAGGTTGAACGCAAAAAAGTTAAGATTAAAATTAATTACAAAAATTTATAAACCTCTAATCTCGTCATCAGTAGCAAAGACAACTCTCAAAACACACCACTACACCGCACAAATTCTCTTGCCGAGTAGGGAATTGAGCCACAAGTATCAATTTCTTACATAGAACATACAACCACTACTCTATCCTGTAGGTTAACCTCCCACCTCGTCGATCACCGCGTAATCTGCGCCCGCTTCAATAAATATATCGCTTGATTTAGACTAACATAACAAAAAGTAGACAATATTATTCTATATAATATTAATTGTGAAAAGAAAAAGGATTCCAATTAAAAGTTCTAACCATAAATTCAAAACTCCGAAATCGAACAAATGTATTCAAACCCTACAATACATCCAGCCAATAAAGAATATCGTTATTAGAAAGTATAACGGCCACGCTGGGTTTTAAAAGCAATTTGATACGACAAGATAAATTCGAATCTTGAAAATGAGCAGAAATATGTTTGAAAACGCTCAATCACTACCATTCTGATAATATAGATACTCACTGGACATAAACATGGGCTCCTTTGCAAGGGAAACAAGAAAGATTAGAAAAAATAACCTTTGTCTGTTGTACTTAATGAAACATGTATCAATGGAAAATTGATACCCAAATGGGAAGAACCGCATAGATAGATAGATAGATAGATAGATAGATAGATAGATAGATAGATAGATAGATTATCGTTACCTTCCTGTTTTTTTATTGTTCTCTCTCCTTAATAATGTTTTCTTTTTCTCATATTCTCTCATAACTCTTGCATCTTAGTGGTTTTATTACCTTTCTTGAATGAAATGATTAAAAAACTCATCGGTTTTCTAATTCGGTATTAATACTATAAACGTTATATTTAGTTGCTACACGTGTTTGAGTCTTGATCTCACGTTGACATGATTTTCACTGTTAAAAACCAATCATATCAATTCAAATACTAATTATAACATTTACAATAATAAGAAATAGTTTGATCTGTATATGCATCCGAGTAATGATGTGTTTAAATCCACATGGGAATGCACATATATCTATATAATTGTGTGTATATACGAGAGAGAACTATTATATATAAATACTTTTATACATATACGTCAGTACTTATATATATATATATATATATATATATATATATATATATAAGTATATATATAAATAATGTTATGAACGTTTGAATTTATATTCGTTTCATTCTCTTTATATATATATATATATATATATATATATATATATATATATATGGGGGGCGTGACCTAGTGGTTAAAACGTTCTCTTTCTGACTGCGGTTGATTTTTCTGGAATGAGACTTGTTGATGTTATCGTTCTATACGGGAACGATCTCAGCGCGCGGCATCTTTGGAAAGGGCATGAAAAACCGTACCACGGATTGACCCAAGCCTTGTGAATAAAATTGGATAGACGGAACACTTGGGGAACAGTCGATAGCTGTGCTAGTACGAGGGTTTCAGTGTGCTGGCCTTGTTCAGATTGTTGTTCACGCTAGATAACACACTATTTCCCCAAAACTGTTAACTAAGGTCTGCTCATCATAGTTGCATTATCAACCACAGGGGTTCTGTGATTGTTGCACAAACCCAAATGTGCCTAAGTGAGCGTCTTCCATATGGATTGGCTAGCCGCCCTAGACGATGGGTATCCTCAAATACGAGTAGCCAGCTAGTACATATATATATATATATATATATATATATATATATATATATATATATATATATATATACAGACTTAGTTATGTTCTATAACTGCAGCTAAGCCCAGTCATTCCGTATATATGAATATTTGTGTGTCGCATGTTTGTCTAATGTTTTTTGTTTAATGTTGTTGTTCATAAAAATTTATGCTGTTTTATAAATAAATCTAGAGACATACATACATATATATATATATATATATATATATATATATATATAAATCATTTACGAGCAAAATACATTTACTGAATTGCATCTTACACAAATGCATCATTTAGAGTCAGATATCAAATTTTCTGTCTTTTCGCTTCTTTAAGAACTCTTATGTTGCAAGTGCTTATATGAAAGTACATGTTTGTGTCTATATAAACACACAGAGACAAGCACACGCGCACACAGAGACACACACACACACACACACACATATATATATATATATATATATATATATATATATATATATTTATTGCCCCACCTACTTCTCAAAAACTGTATTTTAATGACCAGACATTAATACACAGATTTTGTGTGTCAGTCTCTGAACTTTTTCAAATCTTCCTCGTGCATATATATTCATTTATATATATATATATATATATATATATATATATATATATATATATATATATATATATATATATATATATTTCATACACACACACACACATATATATATATATATATATATATATATTATATATATTTATACATATATATATATACAGATGTACATGCTATAAATATATATATTAACTATATACGTATGTACACATGTACATATATATAAAACATATATATATATATATAGGGCGTATGAAGGGGTGGATGGATGGGAAAGCGTAAGAGAAAGCTTAGTTTCCTTTTTAATATAGGTATGTGCGTCTCTTCGCTAATCAATTATTGATAATTTTGATGTATTTTTTTCTTTCCTTCGACAAATGAATTTATTTATAAAATCTCATTTCTTTTGTGAATTTTAATGGAACTTTTTCTTTTCAATGTCGTTGCAAGCCAGATTTCTGTTGAACGCATGATTGAAAATATAGTAGTGGCGGCGTCTACATTTAGCTGTCGACCTAAGCATTTGTCTCCCACATATAGACATGCATGGGATAGGTAGTGAGTCTGATATATTTCCAGTAAGTATTTGTATATTTATGTGAATGCACGTCTATGAGCGTGTGTGTATTTATGTGAGAGTACGTACTCACACGAGCATAAGATAGATAGATAGATAGATAGATAGATAGATAGATAGATAGATAGAAACAAACAAACAAACAAACAAGTGTAATTGGTGTTTTCTTTCTTGATTTTTCCGTTATAATATCTCATGTAATTGACAAAACAATGACACAATTGACATATCACAAATTTTATCAATTTAAATTTTAAATGTTTTAACACAGATCACCATGATGGAAAAATTTAGTTATCAATGTTTTCTTGATTTTTAAAACCGTAAAATTTGTTTTTTGATAATGACCAATGATACTCGAACGTATGGGTAATTCTTACGCAAATTTTACCATTAAGTCAATAAAATCATCAAAACAAAACTTATCAGTGGTGTTTAATAAAAAAAAATTGTTTAATAGGAAAAACTGTTATCCAAGGTATGTTGGAAAATTTTAAAGTTTTCGACCTGCATAAGATACCATTAAAAATAACCCCTGATGTTCAGACATCTGGGCAGATTTTGGAAAACGAGTCATGCTGGGAAACATTTCGGTCCCACCTCACGTGTAATACAGATACACGCCTTCGCATATATATATATATATATATATATATATATATATATATATATATATATATATATATATATATCAATAGAACTCCGGCGGTCGGTCTTGTCAGGCTTAGTTCGGGTGCGTCAACATTAAAACCGTCCATTTCAAAGCAACAAAAATCTTTCGTAGTGCATCATTTTCTTTCTTGACTACAGCTGGATCCAAAATGAATTGTTTTAATTCCGTTCCTCATAATATTGACCGAAATACATTTCGTTGATAATTTTTAAAATAAAGAAGAAAAAAAAAAAGAAACTAAGTAAGTAAAAAAAATCATGAAACTAATATTAACGTGGCTACTCGAGTTACGTAGATCTAAATCCTATCTGAGCTGGAGACATTTAACAGGCAGTGTAACTTGCTTTTATTTTATAAATAATCTTTTTAAAACCTCTAATGACTTGTATGCCCTTTTTTCAAAGAACACATTTTTATTTCAATTTATTCTTTTCAAATGTCCATTTTAAATAATCTATTCTGTACAGTATGAGGTGTTTTAGCACAATGTATCAAATAAAATTTATCCCGACCTAAAATCGGCGAAAATCAAAGAAACGACTGGAGGGTTGATGTGAGGAGTGTGACTGGGGTAGTGTTGAGGAAATATGATACCAGTTGGAACTACTAAGCATAAACACACTAACGCATACACATATATGCAAACACACACTTGAGATAGATACACGCGTTATTTAAAAAAAAAAACATATCTGGCTAAAGATTTTGAAACATTATATATTTTGATTTGAGTAAAGGAATCATGTTATAATATAAGTTATACCACGAGTAATGATTGTAATGAGCCCGACAAACATTGATGACCAAGCATTGATATATATGTATATATATATATATATATATAGAGAGAGAGAGAGAGATTGATAGATAGAGATAGATTGTAAGACATACACACACATAATTAGAATCATTTTACTTTATATATATATATATATATATATATATATATATATATATATGATCCACTTTTTATCCCTTTTTTATTCAAGATGATGCATTCAAATGCATTATACTTTTATCTCGTTTATATTATACTAGCAGCATGGCCCGGCGTTGCCCGTGCTTGATTCAAAAATCGTATGACTCATACAGCAATCGCTATCACTTGACTTAAAATATTTTATGCTCTTCCTTGCCTTTAAAGGAGTGCCCTTTGCCGTGCTGATGTTGCTACATGCCTTACTTCTTGCCTATCTCACACTGCGAATTTTTTCTAAGCTCTATACTAAACTTTAAATCTGTTACGAAAAAAGAACTAAACAAAATGAGCACAAAACGATCAGCTTTAAAAAAGAACTCGTAACTGAAAAAACTGAATGAAAAAAGAATGTTAACAACAAATACTTTTTCACACCCAACCCAGTTCTGCGGAATCAGAATCAACGTTGAGTTTAAGCAAGCGAATGAGCCAATTGGAGTAAAGTGCCATGCAGATTTACATTTTTCCCACTTGTGACGAATGCATCTATCGATTTTTTGCATGCTAGCATGCTAGTTAACACGTGGGAAAAATGTTGGCTCCCACGCTGGCCAATAGAATCTTCCTGCCTATTCGTGACAGCCAGCTATACGCTCTCACTCTGGCCAGTAGAAAATGGCCGCAAACTACATGAAAAGTGCCGGAGAAGCATGAAAAAATCGATTATTTCCACTATCGATGGGAGTTGGGAAATGCAACGTCGGTCTCGGCATTCCTCTTAACTTGGAGCATGTGCATGTAAATTTTGGTGCAAATCCGTTGAAAATTGAGTCCGTGCATTCGTTACACACACATACACACATCCTGCCTTTTATAGATAGAGATTATTTCTTAGATATAGACTCATAAAAATCCTGTGCTGGAGGCAGATTCGGAGATATGAATTCTTCAGAAAGAACGAAGTCCACCTACCGCGACATTCAATGCTTGAAAGTATTCCGATTTGAACACTGGTAGCTAATACCAAAACAAATTTTATCTCTAAAGAAAGACAAGATAACACGCTCTTCACTTGGATAAAGACTTTACACTTATAAATGCTTCTAATTAGATCGTCTTCTGTACTGTTGCCATTCGTGGTGATTTTCTAAGCGCAGCTTACATTCGGCAGAATGTATGAGGCACCCAGGACCGAACTCACTATTCAGTCATAACTGATCTAGCGGGACAAGCTGGCTAACCATCGAAGTTGTCATCTATGGTGATTTCTAAATGCAGCTTAGATATGGCACAAGGCCTAAAGTATAAGTTACCCAGTGAGGATCGAACTCACTATTTAGTCATAAGCGAGACAAGCTTGTTAACCATTATTCAACGTCGGAGTGTCCTACTATTTCCATTGCCGAAATAAAATAAAAAAAAACGATCTCTTAAATGTATGCAATGCGAGTTTCATTCCCAAAAGAAATTATTTCATTTCGGTTTCTTACATTTTTTCCCCTAAAGGCTAGTGATTTGAAGAATGTTATGCCTAAACTAAAATTAATATGGAATAAAAAGAGTAACAGAATAATGATAATAAAATTGCTTTATCTGAAAAGGTTTTCTAAGAAAATTTTATCGAAATAATAACATTAAATGAATGTCATTACTCTCACGTCATCAATAATTTCTATTAAAGATTTAGAATAGATGAAAAAGTGAAAGAATCATTTAAAGTACCTCAATGTTGCATTCTACACCCATTTAAAAGTTCCATATATGGCGTCTGACACGTTCAGAAATTTCCAAACTATCAGCTATATACAACCGTTTTCTCAGATCAATGATTAAAAATAGCTCCAGGCGAATGAATCCACATAAAGGAGACTTGCGGTAAAGGATCACAAAGAAATCTGCCAAATAGTAAAAAAACACATCATTTGAAGACTTCCAACAGCAGCAACAACTAAAATGGCTAACACATGTAAATCTAAGGAAAAAAAATTTATATAATGAAGAATTTGACTTTCACACTGTCTTAAACGAAAAATTAATAGGGAAATTTCCATCAGTATTAGAAAGAGCGATATCAGTTGTCTATTATTTCTGAACAAACACGGCTCTCCACAATTTTCTGTCATTTATAGTAAAGTTTTCTTTTGCTATCTCTCCTAATCCCTGTTCCACCATACATTTACACAAGCTTGTTAGGTAGATTATGGGCTGTCTTCTTCTGTCTTCTCTTGCCTTTAATATGTTCTGTGAGTGTCAAAGATTCCAAGCCCTCTTCCTTCATTATGTGCACAAGAAATTTCAGCTGTATCTGTCTGATGTTAAATATAAGTGTCGTTTTCGTTTCCATTTTCTCAAAAATTCCATCATTGCTCACGTGTAATCCATCGTATTCTCAGCAACCTTCTGTAGAACAACATTTCTGTTGCCTCAAGTCTTATCTACGTCTGCGAGGAGATTGTCCAGCATTCACTGCCATGTAGGTAGGTACATAACAATCAAGTACTCTTCTTTGTTTGCAAGAAATTTTGTGTAAATTTGTTTAGCTTTTTGACAGCATCTTTCGATATCCCAATGCGACTTCGGATTTCGGTGCCATACTTTCCGACCTAGAATCATAGATTTTAAAAGAGTGTTCATTTTATGAGCGGATCAGATAGAAAATACAGACCCAGAAATCTTTAAAGATAATATCTGATTTAATCTCACACTACCTTTTAACATCTGATTTAACGCCCTTCTGGACTTGTAGCCTTGTGCCAAACTAAGCTAAACTTAGTAAATGACAAATATCAAGTAGACTCTAAACACTTGCTTAACTATGTGATCTTCATGAGGTGAGAATATATGTGCACTCCATTGTATGAACGCACGTTTACGTAAATTAAAGGCAGCTGCACTGAGACGCTTACTTAAATCATTTAAATGGAAAAATGTAACCTTCTCTAATCTAAAGTCTCTGAACATAGGAGACAAGATCAACAATATTTCATGATTTTGCGCTCGTAGCAAGGTTTACAGAATACACGAAGCAGTAGCAAGGGCGTGACTGAACGATACGACGACAGAAATATCATGTTACGGATACCCAAACTGGACGGGTGAGAATTCGGCTACTGCTCAGCACGCAAGCATAAAGACAGACATGTTAATGGACAAGAAAAGTAGAAAACCAAAAAAAATAAATAAATAAACGAGCTGTGACGATTTTTTTCTTTGAGGAAAATCCACTCAAAACATCATTATTCCAACCACCCCTTCTATTAAATATCCAGGAAATATTTTCCCACACCCTTATTTCAGGTGTCAACATTCTAAGACAAAGCCTCTCATAACTGAAATTTATTTTAAAAAATTCAAAACCAACTCTTTTATTCCAACCACCCGGTCAATTTGAAACTCAAATGGTTGGTTGATTTTCTTTAGCGACATATTTGGGTTATTTAATGCCGAAATCTAAATATTTTGAACACAATTTTATCAATTCAACAGAATATTTTGAACGCAATTGCATGCCTTCAAATGCAGATAAAATATATTGGTCATTTTGCTATAAATATCTAGTGTTGGTAATCTTTTATATAACAAATATATTGCTGGTATTTCTACTATAAAAATAAACACTATAAACATATATTTTCATAGTGTTTGTTTTTTGTTTGTTGGTGCACTAGTTGTCCATGGCTGGAACCCTAACAGGTGCTACCACCCCAGTTGAGGTTGGACCTGGGATCAACAACAAATACAACGATCCTCAAAACTTACAATCTCCTGATCAGATGTCGTGTTGCCGGATGTAGTTTATCGTCATACCTAGGACTATGTGCGAGCGTGTGTGTACATGGTGGAGTAATGGATAGCGGCTTGGATTGAGGAATCGCAGAGCCGAGTTCGAATTCCAGTCGAATCCATTACATTCACTTACGTGCTAATACCCCTGGGAAAGGTATGAATCATCTTCTTCTCCCTCCAGCTATGGGTAAAATAGCAGGACAGATGGCAACTGGTCTAGGAGAAGGACAACTCTGAATTCAAAACCTGCGGAGGGTCGTTTGGGAACCTTGTGGCATTCGGTGCACTAGGTCTCTGTATTCGTCCCTTCAAAAAGTGTGGATGGTCCTGCACGAGGCCTTCACCACTATAATCAAATCTCATTTGCCGGTGTCGGGCTGTCGGTTTCCTGGAAAGTGATCTGCTTGACCCTCATACGTCGAATCTCGACCGGAGAGTCGACTACATATGTATATATTTATTTATTTATACACACAACACACATATATATATGGAAGAAAATATTATGTAAATTTTTATATATCAGAAAAATGTTGGGAATTTTTTTTAAAAATAGACAGTAAGGATAAAAAAAATGATATTCTATTTGGTCGAGCTAGCTCGGACATTCATGACTCTGTTACGCTTGTTCACTATGCTTATTCAACATCAAAGTAGAAAGTTTTCAAATTGCTCTTTTACCATTCCCCCTGATACACACTGAACTAGTCACGCACATGCACACACAAACGTATATGTGTGAACGGAGCAGAAAGTCGAATCAGCAAGCCTCGTTCAAAATCTGACCTCGTCAGTTTTCTTCAGTCCTCACTGATAGCCTTGAAAAAGTCATTAATTGATCTTCCTCCAGCTATGGGTTAAATAGCAAGAAGACTGGTCTCTTACTAGCAACCAGTCTATGGGAAGAATATTTCAGAATTCTACGAGCCTTTCTCGGCCCAGAATAAGGGATTTTTCACAAGTTTGATGTTTAGTCATTTGCTCAGATTTTACATGTTGATCGAACCGAGTATTTTTTTTAATTTTATTTTATTTTTTAACGGTTATCGAGGTCAAAATGGAATCGGCGTGCCAAGTTCAAATTCTGATTGAGTCCGTTTAGTTTACTTCGACCCTAAGAAAAGCATAAATTAATTGGGGTAAAATAGCAGGGTAGACTGCGATCCTTTGCTTTGAATTGCAACCAGCCTGGCATAAAGAAACTTATCAATTCAAATCTTCGTAAATAATAGAATAAACTAGATACTTTAGCCTTGATAGGGCAACCAACCTAAAAGAAGGGCAAATCTGAATTCAAAACCAACCTGAAGAGGCTATGAGGCTCAGTCAGGTTCTTTGTCATGAGTCCGTCGCTCACTTTCTGAGCGACGGTTCGGTTCAACTCTCTGTCTACGGACGGAGAGGAACCCAAAGGAGGCTACGCCGAAGGGCAGAGTCTCCTTCGGGGAGGTAAAACCGGCCCTGAACCCGTTTATACGGGTTCAAATTGGGCTATTTTTTGGCCGAGCCTAATGGCTCAGAAATGCCCACGTTAAAAAGGCCTTGTGCCACATGACGCCCTCGTGGGGGGACGACTAAATATAGTCAGGTTCTTTGTCATAGACACACCTAACAAGTGTAGTACATGTGACATCCTAACTACTCTAACGGATTACGGGGCACATGTTCATCACTGTGATCGTGCCCCACCCTCAAGAGCTTGAACACTGGTCACGATTGTTGTACAGATTTTTGGCATTCAAAAGAATTATTTCGAGAAGACGGTGGAAGCTAAGTTTTTTTTTCCCCCTTTTCCTTCTGCAGATTTTTAACGCTACATTTTTGAAGAGTACATTTTGTGAATCAAGGTGTATGTACAAGTTCAAGGGAACTACTTCGAAGAAGTCTATGGAAACTAAGTATTTGAATATCTTCTATTTTTCCTTTGCCTTCTGCACAGATTTTTCTCTTTATGTTGTACCCCTTCAAATTCTGTTTTCGTTGATACTCTTTGCTTCTCTCTTTGCTACTATAAAATACGCACTGATGCGAAACCGTTTCAAACTGTCGACTAGTGAAAGTGTCAGGAATAAAGATAGCAGCGAATAGAAACAGGTTTCAATACCTGCATCATTCTCTTTACTTCCTTGTTAGTATTTCTAACGTTATGATTTCTTCCTTTTACTGTTCAAAACGTTTACTTTTTTTTTTACTTATTTCTTCTTACAGAGATAAATTCCGTTCAAAACAAGAATTTATAGTTTTGTCTTTGACTTTTCATACATTGTATTTCTTGTTATTTTCAATATAACCCCCGTTTTGTTTTACTCGTAACAGATAGATAGATAGATAGATAGATAGATAGATAGATAGATAGATAGATAGATATGAAACAGATTAAGATAGATAGATAGATAGATAGATAGATAGATAGATAGATAGATTAAGATAACAAAAAAGCAAAATTTACTAATCGCTACACGGGACAAGAAATTGTGGAGAGCCATGATCAAAGGACATGACACATAGAAGAACTGACATTTCCATACGTTGGTGAGTGTCATGAGGAAGTTTTGCAAATGTAACGTCTTCATGCGTCAATCTGTGGCGTTGAGTTGGTTTATTGTTAACTAACCTCAGCTAAAATAAAAAAAACAAACTTACAATATTATAAATTATAAATATAGTATAAAATACCATTAAACAATTCTACAGAAACCAACTACAAAATAAGCACAAAGTCAACATAAATTAACCTTACGCACACACACATAGACAAACACACACACACACACACACACACATATATATATATTATAAATTAATTGATTTAAAATATGTTTTTATTTTTTTTACAAAACCATGCTTCAAAAATGGAAGCTCTTCATTTTTGAAACATGGTTAGAACTTCTATAAAAAAAAATATTCTTAAATATAATATTGGTTGATTTATGAAAATTTACATTGAACTATTTTGTAAAAATAAAAATATCTATAAGAACATAAATTATATACAGTATTTAATTAGTCGGACTATTGTCCTCATCTTTGTCGCCATATTTGTCACAACGTTTCGGCCGTTTACGCTCCGGCCTTCTTCAGGTGGTTGGAATTTCGAACTTAACCCTTTATTTCGATCACTGGGGTAGACTGTTCTAATTCCACGTGCCATGTTTGATGGATGTCAGTTATCAGTTATCTCCTGCTAATTTTCCCTCTGAAATGTTCTCCACTGCCTTAACCAGGAATTGAACTCACCTTCTTTGGGTCTGTCACTGATCTAACCAACGCCTTTATCCACTGTGCCATGTGTCAGATGCAGTGACAGACCCAAAGAAGGTGAGTTCAAATCTGGTTAAGGCAGTGGAAAACTTTCATTCTGATTAGCAGGAGATAACTGATAACTGACATCCATCAAACATGGCACGTGGAATTAGAACAGTTCAACCCCAGCGATCGAAAAAAAAGGGTTCAGTTCGAAATTCCAACCATCTGAAGAAGGCCGGAGCGTAAACAACATCTTTATAAACGTTGTACAACATGGCGACAAAAGATGAGGACAATAGTCCGACTAATGTGGAACCACATAATACCTCATCTCAGAAATATAGACAAAACCGGATTATATATCTTACTGTTCTTTTCTTTATATATATATATATATATATATATATATATATATATATATAATATGTAATCCAATATGTAATGTTATTGGTCTTAAGCTGGCATCTCGTCATTTTCCTGTGACTTTTCTATAAATATTTTCATGGTAAGATCTTCCCTCTTTGGTATCTAGACTTTATGAATTTAAGTACAGTCCTAGATTGGCAGATGAGTTTCATTATTTTACAATTGAAATGGCTAGATGTGGCCGTGAGTTCTATGCTAACGATTTCTTCTCTCGCACTTCTCGCTTGTGGAACTCTCTCCCGTTATTGCTTTCCAGTCAACTTTCATTTTCAAAAAATTAAATACAATGTCAATCGCTGTCTTCTTAATTCTTGTTCTTTTATTGTTCTCCCTCCTTAATAATATTTTTCTTTATCTCATATTCTCTCGTACTCAGTAATCTCTTGCGTCTTAATTGCTTTACTCAGAATGATACTGACTAATATATATATATACACACACACACACACACACACACATATATATATATATATATATATATATATATCTATATATATATATATATATATATATATATATATTATCAACAATAATTTCCCAATCCATTTTGTTGATGAAGAAATATGATTAGATTTAAAGAAATTTAGAAAAATTATATAAGCCCCCAACTAGATATAAACAAAAATAAAAACTCCATTAAATTGCTTTATTGTAATCAGATGCATCTTAATTATAAACAAGGCGAGAAGGATAAGAAAATTATAATCCGTCGGTATATAAATGTTATACCTTCTAACAAATAATAATAAATAATTTATAGTCTATTATAAAAAATTCCAAGCGTCCAATTTAATTCTCAAAAATAATTCATCACCTCAAAAAGCCTATATGAAAATAATGTTGTTTATCACTTCTTATGTCATTTGGGTGATTTTATCTTCAACACTAACAATCGACATTAATATTCTTACATTGGCTACACACGCACCACAGGAAAAACGTAGGTTAACTTGTCATTTGTGCAATTCAGGCACATGCAGATGAACACATGACAAATAGACAAAATAATATTAACATTAGACAAATTTTAGTTGACAACACCAAAATTTTACACAGGGTAAAGAAAGACTACAAATTCTGGGGGCTGTTGTTACAAAAGAGAAGCAGCTAACATAGAATATGAGGTTTTTTCTCCATGTGGGGACCGTATATTAAAGTGAGTTTTTAAAAAGAAAAAAACACAAAAATTTGACCTTTTCTATTATGTCACTTTAAGTGAGTTTAAATTGATTCCATTAAACTTGAGAACGTCGGAATTAAAAACCAATTGCGTGATTACAAGAGAACAATTCTTGAAAACGAAAGGAATACTTGGGAAGAAAAAATATTAAATAAAAGTTAATATGAATTTTGGTAAATTACCGATAAAACAACTTAGGAATTTTGAAAATTTAATAAAAAATAAATAGAACTTGTCCATATTATTTAACAAAATATTATATATATATATATATATATATATATATATATATATATATATATATATATATATATATATATATACCTAAACAAAAACTAAGCGAAAAAGTAAAAATCGTCTAACATCGTAACCACTAATGCTCCAACAAAATTCGAAACTTCAACAAAGCAAATTGACAGCGAATAGGATCACTTCTCAGGGTATGCGTCTCTGGTAAAAAAATATTTCAGACAACTCATGTATTGACATTACAGTCCCTTCACTATTAAATAAAAATATAAAAAGAAATCGACCTGACGCGTGAAAACTCGATACATGAGAAATGCCGACATGATACTCACCGATGCATGAAAGTGCAACACTCAAAAACGACCAGATATAAACAATGCTTGCCAATGCACACAGCCCTATTGACGCAGGCAACATTCTTTGATAATGGTTACGAAAGCTAAAAGCCCAGTGGATAATTTTTGTTCAAAAATGGTTCGAACCGTAAGAAAATCAAATTAAAACAGTCTTAAACAAAAAACATTCAGTGGTCTATAATCAACCTTGCATGACTATATATATATATATATATGTGTGTGTGTGTGTGTGTGTGTGTGTGCGTGTGTGTGTGTATCCATTGACTCAATAAAGTATAAAATATATGATAATATATGAACCATCTGCCACACTTTTTCTATGTGTCATATTCCTTTAGAAAATTTTAATGATTCTCCACAATTTCTTTTTCTTTGTAGGTCTTGTAGTTTTTTTCTTTGTAGGTCTTGTAGTTTTTTGTCTTTTCGCTATCTCTTCTAAACTCTGTCCTGCCATTCACTTACACAAGCTCATTAGCTAGGTGATATGTTTGTTTTTCATCTTTATACTTGCCTTCAATATGTCATGTGAGTGTCAAATTTTCTAAGCTCTCTTTCCTCATTATGTAAATTATCACTTTCGTTAAATTTCAATGTAACGTTAGAAAACATAATTCTTTGTACTAGAAACTTCAGGCTATCAGACTTTAGTTTTCATTATCAATATATAATTCACGCTTTAATTAATACTTAAAACAAATTAAACACGAAATGCCTTTATTCATAAAAATATATCCCTGTATAATCGATTGCCTGTTTCTATCGTTTTGCCAGAAGCTAAATTTCACGCCTATACCATTTGGCTGGTTTTAACCTCATCCAAATTGTTGAACCGCCATCCGTGCAAGAATTGGGCCATGGCTCTGAAAAAGTAGGAATATGACGATACAAGGTCTGTTCTGTAGAGAGGCTGGGGCAGCACTTCCAGTCACTCAAGTACCTCAGGTTTGTGCCTGGTCATATTGGCTGTCATGTTGTAGGAGTGCGCGTCTTCGGTTGATCGATACGAGGTAGCGGGCTTTCAAAGCATCATATATACGCTGCAGTTGTTGAGCATGAATACCAGTGTTCACAAGATGATCATCTGAGACAAACTCAAAGTGCAACACTCCCTCAAAATTCCACCAAACACACAACATGACATTTTGTTCAAACCGCCTTTGCTTGATAACAGGTTCTTTAGCCTTAAAATTAGTGGCCACTAATTTCATTTATTAGGATTACGAAAATGGATCCATTTTCATCCCCAGTTACAATTTCGATGCCAAAAACGGTCATCTTTGCCAACCGTTGTTTTTAAATGTTCCCACGTCGTTGAGCCTGGTAATTGGTCAGTTCACGAGGCACTTCTCGACAGCGGTGTCTGTTCACAAGACCGGGCTTATTGAGGTGTCAATTTATGGTGCTTTCTGAAGGACCACGTTCTGTCTAAAAGGTAAGAGTGCATGTGCATGTCTATTGTTCAAAAATTTCAAGCACGGCTTCATCTTCCACAACAGAAGGTATCTCCGACATTGGTTTATCTTTGAGCCTAGTGTCACCTTCCTTGAAAAGTTTGAACCAGTGTCGCGCTACACGTTCGTTAACAGTTCTTCGGCCTGACCTAGCTCTAATATAACCATAATTCCCAGGCCCTGTTCTGTCATGCATGTGAATGTTCTCGTTAGGCATGTTATTCGCAATTTTAATTGGCCCATCTTACTTTCAATAGGTCCTGTGAGTGTTGAAAGCCCCAAGTTTTCCTTCATCATTATATCCCAGAAATTTCAACTGTCTCTTTCTGGTTGTAAGTATAAGCGTCTTTTTCGTTGCTACTTCCCTTAAAACTTCCTCGCTGCTCACATTTTATTTCTATGTCTATGGTATTCTCAGCATCCTCCTGTAGAACCGTATCCCTGTCACTTCAAGTCTCATCTTCATCTGCCAGAAAATTGTTCAGTATTCACTGCCATATAGAAGAAGTGATATTACAAAACATTTCAGTACTCTTTGTTTCTAAAG